TCTGCATGGTCGATGCGGAAGCTCCAGGCTGGTCGGCGCGGGGGTCGGCGAGCTGGTCGGCGCGGAAGTCAGCGAGCCACTCGGCGTGGGACTCGATAAGCTGGTCGGCGAAGGAGTCGGCGAGCTGGTCGGTGTGGGAGTCGGTGGGCCGGTTAGTGGGGAAGTCGGCGCGTTGGTCGGCGCTGGAGTCGGCGTGCTGGTATGTCGGCGCGGAATCGGTGAGCTTTTCGGCGTGGGAACCACTAAGTTGGTCGGTGCGGCGGTGCAGCAGCCAGCGTAGCGAGCCGGTAGGTGCGGGAGTCAGCGAGCCACTCGGCGCGGGAGTCAGCGAGCTGGTCGGTGAGGGAGTCGGTGAGCTGATTTTTGTTGTCGTATCCTCTTCTTCTCCGCGTCGCACTCGTCGCGCGGCTGTTCCTGCTCCGCAGTCGCGATGCGGCTGCGCGGCTCAAAGTGGCCGTTGCCCCGGCATCTGTCGCAAGTCAGGCCGCCAGAAATGGCGCCGAGAAGGTCTGACTCCGTTCTTGCGTCGCAGTCGTGATGCGTCTGCTCCTGCTTCAGTCGCGACGCGGTTCTGCGGCTCAAGCGTCTGCGTCGCAAGTGGGGGCTGGTCGGTGTGAGAGGCGGCGGGCCGGAGAGAGCGCAGGCGTCGGCGAACTGGTCGGCCGGGGGTCGGCGAGCTGGTCGGCGCGGGAGTCGGCGAGCCGATCGGCGCGGAAGTCGGCTGGACGGTGCGGGAGTTGTGAGCTGGAGTCGGCGAGCTGGTCTGCGCGGGAGTTGGCGAGCTGACCGGCGCGGGGGTCGACGGCTGGAAGCAAACCCAGATCGACGCCGCACGTCACAGGGCGATCCCTGGCTACGCCAAAGACGAATCCACATAAACCCATTGGTATAGGGCAAGCCTGCGGTGCAAGCTATGCGCCTCTCTGTTCCTTGTCCGCGTTGTCGCGGATAAGCCGGTGCAGCCCGAAAAAAGGTAACAGGAGTGCTTCACGGTTCATGTCGTCGAGACATCCCCGAAAGTGGCACAGCGACAACAACATCGCGGATAGGCCGGTACACTCAAAATCTTGACGTGTGTCATGCTGTAGCATAATGCTGGCGTGCGAGAGGTGTCGTATTGAGCGCAGTGGTCGGTGAACTGTGGTGTCCGGTATGGTTGTGTGGTCGGTGGGATTTGCTTCGGCTGTTGAGGGTATGTTCTGGGTCGGATGTGGGTCGGCTGCTGTGGGATGCTGTGGGTCTGCTGTCGGTTGGTTGCCGCTGGTGTTTGCGTGGGCTCGCAGGTTGGCTGGCTAAGTGGGGTCAGGGTGCTGGTTGGGGTCGGCGGCGCGTTGCGCGTCGGTTAGGAGAGACGGTCGCGGTGGCTTGTGGAGTGGTGGCAGGCATTGGGTGGAGGAGCCGGAAGCGGGATCACGGCACCCGGGGGAAGCTGGTGGAGGGCGCCCGGAACCCAGCGTCGGGCAGGGACGCGGGCGGAGGGACTGTGGCCGCGATCGCCTTCTCGGACCCATTGCGGCATTGCGTTATAGAGCGTTTCTGTCGGAAGGGGGATCTGCGCGCGTCGTTGGTAATTGGCGCGCCTGTGCGTCGCATAGACCAGAAGGGCACTCGGCGCGAGGGCCTCCCTGATACTGACCAAAAGATTCACCAGCAGACAAGAATTGAGGTTCACGAGCTGGCGCGGGTCCAAGTGCGAAACAACTGCGCGGCAAGTCGTCTCACCAGAAAAAAATTCGCGTGGTGCTCAATCGAGTCCCTGGTGTGCGGCGCTCTGCATAGATCCTCCAGAAGTTGTCCAAGTACCTGGGCCAAGGGCGGCTCGTCGTAGACATTGTGACTCCACGCTGAGGACGGCCTCCGTGGGCTCGCTGAAAAGCATGCCACAAAACTCAACGCCGAGATCGCCAACGTGCGGGTGGCGTGCCCACAAGGAGGCACGCTGCTGGAACTTCGCCCCAGGGCCCTTCCAGAGCAAGTCCCGGCCGTCCGGCCCCACGTAGAAGCCCAAGTATCTCCCTGCAACTGCCAATCGGGTGGTAGGCCAGCCCAGAATCAGCGCGTCGACGTGCCACCGCACCGTCGGTAATGGAGACGCGAATAATTGAATAACGACCGTTTTCTTCAAATTGAGCCGTAGCCCAGACATTGCTGCGAACTCGTCGAACAGGGCCGCCAATCTGGGCCCATCCTCCCCAAAGAGTTGTAGAGACAACGGCGGTGTCATCCGCTTATGCGCGAATCGGGATGCCTGGGCATGTTGCTTGGATCTTGTCCAACCACAACTCCGCGCAGATGGCGTACAAGAGAAGGAAAAAGGGGCATCCTTGCCGGACGCCTGCTGTCAAAGTATATCCTGGTAGCGTCTCTCCCCGACTCACAATCTGGCACCTGCAGCTGTCGCACAAGTACTTCACAAAGCTCCGGGCCGACGCGGGTAGATCAAGTTGGCGCAGCATGTCGTGCAAGCACTCCTGTGAGAGCGATGGGAACGCGGACACACAGCCGAAGAGGATAATGGCGCCAGATGATTGGAGCGCGGTGGCCATGCTGGCAAAATCGACGTCGAGCACGCTCTTCAATAACGATCGGTGTCGTAAGAGGCCCTGTTGCGGAGGGCCGACCCACGCGTTGAGAATAGGTTCCCAGCGCCCCCGGGCAGCATTTGCTATGATCCTATTGTCTGTGTTCGCTATGGATAGCAGGCGTGGGCTGTCTGCCGTGTGAATGTCACCATGTGTCGGGTCACACGTCAACTTCTCCTTCCCTAGACAAACGAGGGGTCCCAAGTTGAAGTCGTAGCCGTCGGGTTCGTTGTCGTCGCTCAGCTATAGTGGAGGCACGCCTCCCCTGAGGCGCTCTGGAGGGCGTCGGCGGCTTCCCACGAGGGCCCTGACGGCGATCCGGCCGCTTCGCCGCCACGCGACGTACGGGATCCCGTCCGTGCCGGGCATGCTGCTGCCCGAGCGCTCGATCGCGGACTCCACATTTTCCCCTCGCAGTGCCCGCTTGTCTGGGGATGCGTCGAGGGGTGCACGGGCGCGGCGGCGACGCGGACGGCCGGGGCGTGGACGAGGATCGGCGGGCTGCGAGGGCGGCCGCCGTCGGGGGCGGGAGCGCGGGGCGGGGGGGAGACGGGTCAGCAGCGTCAGCCTGGGTCTGGGCGGCGTCTTCCGTCGGCGTCGGGCCGGGGGTCGGCAAGAACTCTGGCAGGGGCGCGGCCCGGCGCTCTAGAATGCCAGGGTTGACCGGCTGTCGCGTCAATACTCTGCTCCAGCGTTTCCCAAGTTCTCGTGCTGTGTCGTGAGGCGTGTGTGCAAGGTTGTCGCCTGCGGTTTGGATGGCGCCGGTGGCGGTGTTGCAGCCTGGCTGCATGCGGCGGAGCTTCGTGAGGCTGTGCGTTTTCCGCTGCTGGTAGTCCCCAGAGTTAGCCTCAGCCTCTTGTCGTTGCAGCGCGGCGAGGTCCGCCGTGACCGCGGTGTGGGCGAGGTCCGTCGCGTGTTATCGGACGGACTGCAGCCGCGGCGAGAGACGAGCACTCGGGTCGGTACCTGGAGCGATCGTAGCACGGTGGGGGTAGGCAGTCAAGCAGGGTGCCATCGCTGGGACGGATATGCGCTCTGCCGCCTGGATGTATGCCACTGTCCAGCCTAAGTGGTCGTGCGGGTCATCTGAAGGGGCGTCGAGTCCTTCTTTGTGCATCTTCGCCGCATACTCGTCGATTCTAGGCCACCGGCAGCGTTCAAGCTTGAACGCCCTCGGCGGGGTCGCCGCCGCGTCAGCACGACACGAAGCTGCCGTAGGCACTCACTGCCATCCTAGCAGCAGCACCAGCTGACCTGCTCCAACCTGACTGCGGCGACACAGCACTCCGACTCCCCAGCGGCAGACAGCCAGCGGCGACCCACCACACCTCGACCACGACACGAGCCGAGGCCGACCCCATACTCCACAGCCCACCACGCCTACGTCTACACCCGCAACGCCATGGACTACGTGAGCCTCGTCTGCACCCACGCCCGCAACTCCTGGGGCCCCAAGGACCTCGAGCTCGAGCTCACCTTCAGCATTCTCTACTCCCACCGCATTGCCTGCCACCTCCTCCGAGGCACCTCCAGGCCCTTCGCACCTTCCTCTGCCCCGCCTCTTCCTGTGCATAGCCCTCTCCCCCACCGCCGCCTGTCGCCCACTAACCTCCACCACCTCACCCCTGCACCTTAAACGAGGGACGGGACAAAGGGGCGGAACTAATGGAGGCCGGGAGCGGGATCTGGGCCATCGTCGGCACGGGCTGCCCCGCACGGCTGGACCTCTTCACGCACGGGTGGAGAAGTTCCCCACCCTCCCCTTCGGGGGGGACTTACCCCCCACTTACCCCCCACTCCAGTCCCGCCTCTCGCACTCACCCTCCTCCTGCCGCGCCGCACCGGCTGCGCCTGCCTTCGTCGCCGCCAGCGCGCCCACACGCGCTCCCCCCTCTCCCCCGCCCACGCTGCCCCCATGGCCGCTCTGCGCCGCAACGCCTGGGCTCCTCGCACCCCCTCCTGCGAACACCGGGACGACACAGGACGCCCTCGGGACGGGACTGGTGGGGGGTTGCCCCTCTCCTGGGGACGAGCCGCGGTGGGCCCCCCCTTCCCCCCCGGGGAGAGGGGGGGGAGGGGGGCCACAAGCCCGCGCCACGCGCACCGCCCCGTTGGCGCGCAGATGCGCCCACCGCCTCGCCTCCTCTCCCCCCGCTGCCTCGCATGCGCTCCGCCGTGCGGTCGCCCCTTCCCTCTTCCTCTCTCGGCGTTGCTCCGCTCTCCCCGGCGCAGGCTCGGAGGAGGGCTGTCGGCTATGGAGGGCATGGAGGCTCGCATCGCTCGACAGTGTCCGCGGCTCGAAGCTCGAAGGAGGAGGAGAAGGAGGAGGAGCAGGAGGAGGAGAAAGAGGAGGACTATGAGGAGGACTATGAGGGGGACTATGAGGATGAGGAGGAGGAGGAGGAGGAGGAGGATTTTTTGACATCCGCGCTCAAGGACCCCAAGTCAATGAGGAAAGAGATGAAGGAGTAGCCGAAATCGAAGAAGACGGAAAAGCCCAAAGAAAACGGCAACTCCCAGCATCTGATGAAGTACACCTCCATGCCGAACACTGACAGAATAAACCAGAAATGAGGAGCAGCACAATAACGCCGTAGATCTCGTCGGACAGCTGCACGCCATACAGCCCGCACCTTTGAGGCCGAACCAGGAAAATGAACCCCGCACGAGAAAACAACAATGCCATACGACGCAAAGTGCCAATACCCAGAACCAGCATATGCCGACAATGACGAACACGAAAATGAGGGTACCAGTCGCCATCTCAGGAGAAGAGGCGGCCCTCTCCAGGGTCGGGCGGCAGGTCACGCGGAACCCACAGCACTGGAACGGGGCCTCCGACGATGACCTCGTCACCTGAATAGTCGTACCCTCCCCTGGCGGTGTTGGGAGATTCCGAAATCGGAGCTGATGTCAACCGCATGCCGCCGTCAAGGCGCCGACGCCTGCGCACAAAGGAGCGGGACGCGGCACCCAAAGCCTCCCAAGAGCGCAGCTGCTCCTCGACAACGGAGATGTGCTCAACATCCATGTCCATTGAGACCTCCACCGCGGTGGCATTGTCACCAAGGCCATCTTCACCACAAGGAACAGGAACGACTACATCTTTGAAGTCACCACGGCATAAACTGACCCCATCAAGAAACCCATGATGAGCGGCAGCTCCAGGCACAAAGGGCGCCGCGCATACCCGAAGTGCAGTAAAGGAAGCCGCCACAACACATGGGGGCCTGGCTCCCAAGCGAGGCCCACGTTGCGCAGAGTTGAGCTCGGCAGGCGAGGCGGTGACGATGTCGATCCCCTCGGCAACCGAATGCAGGGCAACGTTCCGTCGAAGGACATCAGTGTGCTCCACGGGCTCGTCCAAGAGCAGTGCCTCCAGCGCAGGCGCCGCGGCCGCCAGCCGAGGACCCAGCTGAGGGCACCTGTCCGAACCCAGGGAGAAGGCCAGATCGTAGTACTTCTTTTTCCAGCCCTCAGCTTCAGCTCGGAAGTGATGGACCGCACGCTCAGCAGAAGCAGCGGCGGCCTTCCGGGCAGACCGGCGAGCCGCTGAGGAGGAAGCCTTGCCGCCATCGAGGGCAGCATCCCGCGCCATCCGCCGCGCGCTGGAGCGAAGGGCCGCCGATAGGCTTTCGCCAGAAGCGGGCCCTTGAACCATCCGCGCGGGAGCTGGCTTGAGCCAAAATGGCTACGGAGGGAGGAGGGAGGAGGAGGAGGAGGAGGAGGAGGAGGAGGAGGAGGAGGAGGAGGAGGAGGAGGAGGAGGAGGAGGAGGAGGAGGAGGAGGAGGAGGACTATTAGGAGGAGGAGGAGGAGGAGGAGGAGGAGGAGGAGGAGGAGGACTAGGAGAAGGAGGAGGAGGAGGATAATTTTTCTTTAACATCAACGGCAAGCTACCCCCTCATACTCACAGGTGGTGGGGTGAGGCCACCTGTAGCGTGAGTGCACCTGCCGTGAAGCCCACCTCAAGCATGAACCCGAAGAAGACCTCAACGGACAGGAGCACGCACGGCATCATGAAGAGCTGCCAGAGTCGTCCCAATCCTCGTCGAACAAACGGCTGAGACACGAACTGTGCCACGATGCACGGCAGCGCGGACAGGCTGCCACATCCGCTCCACGAGGAATGGGCATTCCACATGCCCTGCATGAGCACCTCCCTGGCCCGCGTCGCCGACGAACGAGGGTACCATCGCAACGGGCGCAACCAGGATCTGAACCACAGACCTCGAGCAGCCACGGCGGTACATCAGGCTGCCGCCGCACGAGGCCCGCCTCGCGGATCGCCTTGTCTCTGCCGTCGAAGGGGGAGGATGAGGATACAGCCGAAACCAGCGCGCTGCCGAGCTCCACGTCCACACCCCCGCAGGCGACAGGAGCGGCAGGCTGACCCAGAGGAGAGACGACTTGAGAATGAACAAGAACTTCGCCTGACCCGACAGAGCGGCCAAGAGGAAGATCATGAGCAGCCAGTGCCGGAGAGACGCCCTCAACGACCTCCTGCTGCGTGCCGTCTTCCACCGAGCGCACATCGACGACAACGGCGTTGGAGTCGCTGCTGGGCACCGCAACGGGCCCCCCAGGTGCGACGAGTACGGCTTCCGCAGCGTTCGACTCCTCAACGGCCGCCTCGGACACAGCTGTACCAGGGCGCCTGTCCCCGCCGCAACTGCCGTCGACAATCTCCGACTCAGACAGGACGGGCAGCTGCTGCAGATCGGTCAGCAAAGTGGCGACGTCGCACGACCAGCGGGCGAGGAAGTGTTGGTCCGCACCTGGCAAGAAACAGGAGGCATCCGCGTTCCACTCCGTCGGGCCCACGACCAGCGGCTCGAGCACGGGCAGCAAGCGCGAAGGCTCGGCGTAGCAGACCTCGATATCCTTCTGCACTGGCTGTGCGGCCAGAGCATGCTCACGACGACACTCCTGGGCGGCCTGCCGAGGGCCGAGGCGCGGACCGCGCCGCGCCGCGCGCAGCTGGCGCGGACTGGCGCGCGCCACGTCCACCCCAGAGGCCTCGGCGTGGAGGGCCACGTCCCTGCGCAGCTTGTCCACGGGCACGGGATGCTGCCCCCGCAGCAGCGAGGCGAGAGCAGGTGCCACGGCGACCAGCCGCTGGACCACCTCCTCGTCTCCGAGCGTTTGCAGGAGCGCCACGTGCTCCTCGCGGGCCGAGGCGAGTTCCCGCGTGAGCCGCTGGATCAGCGCGTCGGCAGACGCCCGAGCACCAGCGGCGCCGCGAAGGCGCCGTCGCCCCCCTCCGTCTCCAGTCGCTGCGCACGCCGCGGACGGGGCGGCGGCAGCGTCCCGCGCCATCATGGGTCCCGCGCGCCGTAAACGGGCGGAACACCTGGCCTTGAGCCAAAATGGCTACGGAGGAGGAGGAGGAGAAGGAGGAGGAGGAGGAGGAGGAGGAGGAGGAGGAGGAGGACTATTAGGAGGAGGAGGAGGAGGAGAAGGAGGAGGAAGAGGAGGAGGGCAAGGCGGATAATTAGGGAGAAAGAGGAGGAGGAGGAGGAGAAGGAGGAGGAAAAGGAGGAGGAGGAGGAGGAGGAGGAGGAGGAGGAGAAGGAGGGGAAGCAGGAGGAGAAATAGGCAAGGGAGAATGCACGTATGGGGGACATGCATGATCATGAAGAAGGGCTTTGGAGAAGGGACAGGAAGAGGAGGACCGAAAGCAGGCTGATTTTCCTGATTTTCGACCCCAGGACACTGGCACTCCGACCAGGAGTTGCAAAGGGGACGCGGTGACCAGACGTCCCGACCATTTCCCAACGGGCAATTTTTCATCGCGAATCGGTTTTGACGGTCCTGGGGCCCGGGCGAGGGCCCCTGGCCAGAAATTGCCAAAAACCTCCCGTCGTGGAACATGTGTTACGTCGCGAACATGCCTGCTCTGGGGGGTGGTGCTGCTCCGGTGGCTTCCGCACCTTCCGCGCGGCAGGTGTCGCGCTGCCGCGGCCGCCGCCGCGGCCGCAGCGGCGGCCGCCGTCGGAGCTGCGGCGGTGGCCGCGACCGCCGCCGCGGCCGCATCGCGGCGGCACCCTCCGCGCGGAAGGTGCAGGTTGGGGGGAAGGGCCTTGGGCGTGGCTGGCTTCGTGGGGGGGGGGGGGGCGATGAATGGAAAGGGTGTGTGGGGGGTGCGGGGGGGGGGGGGGGGGGGGGGGGCAAACGTGCACCTCTCGTGCATTCTGGGGGCCCCGAGGGGTGCTCTTCAAGGCCGAGGCCTCCTCCTGATTCTCCTCCTGATTCTCCTCCTGATTCTCCTCCTCCTCCTCCTCCTCCTCCTCCTGCTCCTCCTCCTCCTCTTCCCCCCTCCTCCTCCTCCGCCCCTCCCCGTGACTCGACGCCCAGTGGCCGCGGCGGGGCGCGCCTCTGGGTCCGCGGGCCGCGGCGACGCGGCCTGGCCCATCCGCCCCGCGGGCGCTGGCGTGCGCCGGATGCGAGGCTCGGGGCCTCGAGCCTGGGGCGCGCGAGCTCGGCCACGCCTCCATCGCCAACTGGCACGGCTGGGGGGGAGAAAAGGGGAGGGGAAGAGGAGGAGGAGGAGGAGGAGGAGGAGGAGGAGGAGGTGGAGGAGGAGGAGGAGGAGGAGGAGGAGGAGGAGGAGAGGAGGAGGAGGAGGAGGAGGAGGAGGAGGAGGAGAAGGAGGAGGAGAAGGAGGAGGAGGAGGAGGAGGGGGGGGGAAGAGGAGGAGGAGGAGGAGGAGGAGGAGGAGGAGGAGGAGGAGGAGCAGGAGCAGGAGAAGGAGGAGGAGGAGGAGGAGTTCAGTTCAGTTCTCAAGCCCATCAGGACCGTTCGTGACTGGTTGAAAAAACGCTGGCTCGGGCTGGGTCGACAATTCTTTGTTCGCCACCCTTTCGACATTTCGCCTTTCGGCAACCATGCTGCTGACCTGCTACACGCTGGAAGAGACACCCACGGACTATGAACCCCAGCACCTCTGCCTCCAAGTGACTTCCATGGAGGCGCAAGCGCTCAACCACAGAGCAGCTGAAGGCTGAGCTCTGAGGCCTAGACTCCGAGAAAAGAAACACATAAGAGAGGCACACAAAGGACCAGCGAGAGAGGCAGCAGGCTGATGACCACTCTGTGGGGTCCAGCACGGGAGCACGGCCGCGGCAGGCGTCGTTCACTTCGTAGCTTTCTTGCCCCTGCCTCTGCCGCCTCCGAGCTGGCGACTCAGGTTGCCCCTGGGGGCTCTATTCATCTTGATCTCTCCGCCCATGCTCCTCAGCGCTTCGCAGACTATCTGTTCGGTGGGGACCCACAGGCCTGGCGCGTGGAACAGCTCCATCGGGGTCTCCAGCGGGCTGATCATGACCGTGCTCTTCGTGGCGTCGTAGTTCTGGAGCTCCGTGAGCATGCTCGCTGCTGTGGCGTCTTCGCGAGGAAGAAGCAAAGACCCTTTGAGCGAGAACGTAAGGCGACTCTTGGGCTCTGCTCCTGGACGATCGAATGTCGGCAGAGCTACCAGCTCCTTCACCCAGCTGCACATTAGCTCTGGCCCGCTCTTCTCCATCATGAGCGACAGCCTTTTGCAGGCGTGTAAGACCTTGATCATCCTTGGCGAAGTATCCTTGTGCTCGAAGACTTCTATAGCGGTCAGAAGAGCGAAAAGGGCTTGGGACGCGGGCCCTGCGAGCTGCTTGTCTGGGTTCTCTTTCCTCTTTCACTGCTTTGAGGTAGTCCTGGAACGAGTTGTTCATCGCTTCTATTGCCACCGACTTCCTGGGAATGATGGCGGTGCTGAAGGCGGCGTGTTCGAGCGCCCGCACGCGGGTCTCGAGCTGGATCAGCAGGTCGTCCCTGAGCTGAGTCTTGTGGGGGGTCTCCTCCTCGTCCATGTCCTCGTCGTCCTCCTGGCTCGCGTGCTTCGCGATCTTCTTCGGCTTGCCGCCTGAGACGCAAGAGAAACTCTTGCCTCGTGGTCTCACCAGGGAGGACGCGGCGTCCGCCATCAAGTCTCACGTAGAAAGACGGACTGAGGTACTCGGAAAGGTGCTGAAACAGGTGCTCGACAAAATCGGCTACGGTGTCGAACTCTTCGAGACATACTTGGCATTTCGTGTTTTTGTATTCGTTCACCGTTTGTTCATATCGACCTCGACCATAAGGACAGAATTGCCGAACGAGACTTCTTTTCGCGTGCTGTTTGGCGACGACGGGCTCTCGAAATACGCATCCACATAAAATACATTCATTCTAGGGGGTGCATATCCGAGCTATGTGTAGACGACCATGTGTACCACCTTGTGTAGACGCAGTATGTGCAATGAGCTGTTTGTGCGAAGGCCATTTTGTCCGACACCTTGACCCGTCCTCCAAGAACTCCCGACAATAGAACAATGTTTCCTCTGTGTCTGGCTCCGTCTGCATTGCCGCGCTGGTGGCGGTGCGACAAAGAAACACAGCGCGTAGCTAGCTGATGTCCAAGCGCTGAAACTGCTCAGACGTGTCGGGATCGAAAAGAATCTTGTCGATGCGATTGTCTGCATCGAGAAGCAGGTCCTCGCCTGACTCTGTGCACGCGAGGAAATCGATGTCCTGTTGCATCTGCTGAGCCCAGGGATGCCCAGACGCAGGGACTCGACCATCAACTAAGACCTCACCATCTACTGCCATAGTCCCTAACATAGCTGCCCAAAACTGCCCATGGAACTCCTTGGCCTTCGAGAGCTCCTGATACCACTTCAA